TAATACGAGCCGAACACGAACACAAATATTTAAATTGAGCCAAACACGAACACTGTTCATGAGTCGATTTTGAACACGAGCTGATTTCAAACATGAGCTGTTTCGAACGAGTCGAACACGAGCCAAGCCTAAATTCGCTCAAGCTAGGCTCGTTTACAGCCCTAAACTAACACCAAAATTAAATTTAATATATTTACATTTATAATCTTTTGCTGGTGTAAACTCATGCTTCAAATTGTGTATTTAACTGTTAAAAAATATATATTGATGGTGACATTTTTGATGTGATGTTTAGTATGTGAAGGGTATGTATGTAAATATGAATGTTTAGGTGTTAGATATATAAATTATGAAAAAATATTATACAAGTGTGGTATTTATGTAAAAGTCTCTATTGTTTTATGACAATAGTAATTATTTTCATCATAATTGTGCAGACACAGTCACAAGAACATCAATGGAGTAAGCTTGAAGATATTCTGAGAAGGGAGATCAGAGAAGAAAATTGTACAGACCCTAAGAGAATGAAGCTTACCAGAGATGAAAGCCAAGGAATTCCAAATTTGAAGCTAAGCTTGCCACCAAGCTCATTGCAACAAATATTGTCTGTTAATAGTTTCGCGAAAGAAGAAGAAGAAGGAGAAGAAGAGGAGGAGGAGGAGGAGGAGGAGACTAAGCTCTCCCTTTCTCTCTCTCCTCCCTCTTTCAGACCATTAAAGAGAACAATGATGAGAACTGAGATTGATTTTTTGAACAGAGGAAGCAGGAAGAAACCAACTCTAGGGTTTAGTGCTTCAGAACTCAGCCTGTCAATTAGGGCATTGGAGTGAGGCATTTTTGGTATTTGGTAATTTCATATAAAGCTTAGAGGATAGCAGTAGCCTGAAAGCCAAGGGTTTTAGGACACTAATACCATCCGAAATCAAGCCATTGATGTTCATTATATTTATTGAGAAGAGATTTGTTTATTAGGGTTTTACAGAGATACATGATTGGATTATTGTTGTCTCAACTTTAGGCGATGCAATAAAAATTTTGTTAGCTACAAATTTTGTGTTTGTAAGTTGAATGAAGTCGATGATGGAGACGTTAGGGTTGGGGCTTAGTGTTAGGGTTAGGGTTAGGGTTAGGGTTAAATGATTTTTCATTATAGCTTAGTTTCTCGCTGTCTATTTAATATTTATTTTGCATTATGAAAAAACTATCTTATTTTCAACTTTATTTTTTATGGTGGGTAAAATTATTAAATATTTATTTTTTTTAAATTATTAGAGAAAAAGTAATTAATGGGGAATAAAATTACTAAATTGCTTAAAGTACATAAATATATATATATATATAATAAAATGGGCATGAGGGATAATTACATATTATATATCCATGCTGGATCTTAAATAAATTATCATAATTCTGTCATTTGAGAGTGATGACAGAGACATCTAGCTTAGAAAATAAGGATTATTCTGGTTGAGTCAAGGCCAAGGGATAATAATTTTTAGGATTAATTAAACTTATTTTTATATAGATAATTTATAGGAAAATTTAAATGCATACCACATAATTTCTTTTTTATTTACAATCTAACACCTAAAGTTTGATATTTACATTTGTAACACTTTCGCGTCATGTACGTACGTGTATGAAAATGTCTACTTAACTTCTTAAAGATTATTCTGCTTGGGTCAAGGCCAAGGGATAATAATCTTTAGGACAATTTACAGGCATACCACAATTCCCTTTAAATTACAGATCTAACCCCTAAAGTTTGGTATTTATATTTATAGCACTTTGGCATCATGAGCTTATGCCCATGAAAATGTCCACTTCACTTTTAAATGTTATATGAAAATGCTTCCAACACCACACTTATAGCAGGTGCAAACATCTCGCTGTATTAACACAGATAGATTTTATGGGTAGACTTAACTCTCTCGACAAATGTTCTAACAAATAGCCTCTCAGTGAATATTACGTAAATACAATTAAATCCTCAAGTAATGGTAAATATTATAAATTGATAAGTGACATTGATGTATGTGGAAGTAAGAAACAACCTAACATATACAGATTATGTTTCTTAACATGCCTAAAAAAAATGGGATAGGAAATATCTCGTAAGAATATTTATAAAAACTTCATCTAAACCCTAAACCCTAAGCCCTAAAAGATGTACAATAGTGTGAGATTGAGAGTGAACTAGGGCTGTCAAAAAAAAGCTCGTTGTTCGCGAACAGTTCATGTTCGATTCGTTCGATAAGTAAATGAGACGAACGTGAACAAATTTTTTTCGTTCGGTTAGTTAAACGAACCAAATATGAACAGTGATGTGTTCGTTTGTGTTTGAAATCGTTATTATTCGAAATATAAAATAATTTAAAATAGTTATATATATTTTTTTTTGATATTTTAAAAAAGTAAATTATAGAAATTATAATATATAATAAATTAATAATAATAATATATTAATATACTATATTAGTAATATACTAA